GCGTCCCTGGTAGCCCTGTCCCTGCTGATGGTAGCCGTGTCCCTGCTGATGGTAGCCGCGTCCCTGGTAGCCGTGTCCCTGCTGATGGTAGCCCTGTCCCTGCTGATGGTAGCCATGTCCCTGCTGATGGTAGCCGTGTCCCTGCGCCCTGCCCCGTGGTGCCGTACCCCCGCAGCCCACTCTGCGGTGTCCCTTTCCCTCGTCCCCAAGTTGCGCCCGGGTCCCCTGTGCCTGTGCTCCGCGGTGCCTGCGCGCCAGCCTGCGCAGAGAACAGCTGGAGGTGGTTCATAAGGGAAAAATCCATCTCCCTGCTGCTGATGCTGACCCTCTCCAGGAGGGTTGGGCTCTAAGGGCACAGACCAGGTCCAGTGCGCGGTTGGGAGCAGCGGTTTCACCTGCAGAACCAGGCCTGGCCGTTTGAAAAAGAGCAGCTGTCGTGTTCCCCTGAGGGTAGTTGCATCCTTTTGAGGGACTGGATTCTCTTGCACCACTTTGCAGACAGACCCCGATTCCTACTGCTGCCATCAGCTGGAGTTTTAGCCTTGGTTCCATGGGCAGAGCTGGACGAAGCGCTGCTCACCCACACGGTGGGTTGTATTTTCCCGTTGGTGGCTGTGGTGGGTTAGGCAAGAGCAGACTCAGGAGAGTAATGGGAATGTTTCTGGCTGGTGGGAGAGGGACCCCCAGACTCAGAGGAGCACATGGCCGGCTGAGGAGACCGCTGCCCCTTGAAACAGCAGAAGCTGAGATGCACCCACATAGTCTCGCCTGCCAGACCATGGGGCTTCACCTCTTCATCTGACAGACTAGAAAGGCAGTGACAAAAACCTCTTTTTTTTCTTAAGCATGAAAAGATTTTCCTTAAGTTATGTGCTTTAAAAGAGGAGTATTAGAATAGGTAGTGGCAACAGGTTGGAGGATCTTCAGTGGCTTTAAAAAGGCTGATTTTCATAAGCTCATAAAAAAAGACAAGTACAGACTATCATATTTTCCACTTTTGAAACTTTTTCTGGTATGAAGCAACCATAATTTTATGACCCAGAGGGATATTCTGACCACTTGAGGTAGGGCTATGCCGCTCCATTTCAAAGCGAAAAAACAAACTGTCTATATTTTAGGCTTGTGCCCTGCATTTCTTGCCTTCCCCACAGGGAAAGCTCCCACAGCAGTCACGGGAATCCTGTGGGAGAATGGAGATGGTTGGCAGAGTCTGTCTTACAGACTTCTGGAGAAGCACCGCTAGTCTGGGGATCTGTGATTGTAAGGAAAATATGTGTCCCGGCATAGCCCTGGGAAAAGCCGGCTGGCTGAGCAGTGGGGAGTTAGTACGCCTCTGTACGCTAGTGTCCCTGGGATGTCTCCAGGAGGACTGGGGAGAAAGAAGGTTTCTTCACTATTTTTTTAAAACTTTCCTGCAGGTCAACCAAGATTTGATTTCCTGATGGTGGAGCTACCATATATTAATCATTAGAAGATGAAATTTATTGCTACGTTTGGAGGAAAATGGAGGACTACAGGCTTTACGTCACCAAAATCCTCCTTACATCCTCAAAGCTGGGCTTGTACGGAGGTTAAGATGGGCCCATCTGCAGCTCCCTCCTGGGCTGCGGCTCCATGGGAATAGCTCATACCACTGTAGGAGCAGGGTGGGCACATTGCTATCCCTCACTGTCCTGGAGCCAGACCTTCAGCTTCTGCAGTCCCGCTGAATTCAGGGACCAAGTGTTTTATAGCGATATAGTCGATTTGCTGTGACACGAAGCCTCCTTATTGCTCAGCCAGGCAGAGCCATGTGCCCCGCTCATGGACTGAGCGGAGTCCCTGGCTGGGTGAGGAGGGGAAGGGGCTGCTCAGCCAGCCGTCTGCCTCACTCAGCGCTATCACTGCATGGAAACATGCACAAGACGTTTGATATTAAGGGGCAGGAAGGCACCAGGCTGGTTTCTCTCCAGATGCGGGTCTGCGTCTCTCCATGCCTCAGTTTCTTCACCTGCACAAAGGAAAAGATGATACTGAGTCCCGTGGAGAAGGGCTTTGAGACCTGCAGCATCTACAGATTTGGGATGGTTATCCCTAACAATTTGGCTTGGACTTAGGAATTGTCCCAAAGGAGTTTGGGGATGAACCTGCAACTCTCCAGTCCAATCCCGCCCCACATCACCTGGGGATTTTAGAAAGTTCATTTGCAGCTCACCATATTTGCAGTTTCAGAAGGATGTTTCGTTTTGTGTTGCCTCCCCATAAAGCTACTCCTTTCTCAAGGTCTAATTGGAAAGACTGATTCTTTCTTTAATTGGCATATATTTAAGGTGGGTTTCTTTATTTCTTCCTGCTTTGACTGCTGCCATCCGGAGGCCAACTGTTTTGTTTAAATTAGATATTGTTTAAATTAGATATCGTTATTGACTTCCTTCAGCCTTGTTTCATATTTGTCCTCTGCTAGAAAATCAAAGCCTCTTTATTCGCAACTTGGTTAGTACTGACTCTGCAGACAGTACATATGGCCCTTACAGCTCTTTTCTCTGGCAAGAACTTGTATTTTAAAGAGAAGAAGATCAGATTTCAGTGTGTTATGTGGTGGGAAAATGCAGCTTTACAATTCTGTATGGATTAAGAATTACAGGCCATTGTTTTTCCCTCACTGCCTGGAATTGGCAGCGTATTTCAGAGCCACACAGGTCCCTTCCCTACCACTTGGTCCCCGGCGCCGTGAGAGCATCTCCTACGTGCCGGGCCAGGCATCCCCCTGGGGTAAATCACTGCCACGCCGGTGACTGGAGTGGAGCAAAGCTGGTTTATGCCTGGAGGAGCACCCGCCTTGCCAGGGGTTCACTGGTCCCTCGTGTCCCCTCTTCCCCTGTGCTTTGGCATGTCACGCTGCTCTGTTGCCACCAAGTGTGCTCCTGCCCCAGCCCCTTGCGCTGCCCTCGGAGGGTCTCTGCACACCCAGCGCCGTTGCTCTTACCATGGGAGCGGGGGCTGGCTCTGTCCCCACAGCTCCATCAGATGTCACCGGCTGGGGACAGATGCCACACGTTCACACCGCTCTTCTCTTGGTTGCAGGGTTCCCCGCTGAAGGGCGAGACATGCGGTAGGAGCCAGCACATCCCACCAAAGAGCGAGACTCGGTCGTGCCGCACAGCCTGGGGTGCAGCGGGAGGGACAGGACATGCGCCGCATCGGCTGCCTCCTCTCGGGATTCCTCTTCATCCTCGGTGTGACCAGCATGGACGGCTTTGCCCGGGCAGGGTAAGCCCCCTTTTTGTCTGCATCTCCCGGGTTTGCCCACCTGCACGTCATGGCAAGGTGCATCCTCTCTGGGTGATGAAGAGCCCTGTTCAGCCAGCTGGCTGCACGTGCATAGGCAGCTTGTCGGGCTGGCGAGGAGGCAGGGAAAGGTTTTGCTGAGTCCTCCTGATGCAGCCGGGACTCGGCAGCCCTTCGCTGGTGTTTGTTTGTTTTGTCACTGAAGCAAAAAAACCTCTCAGAGAAAATGCCCTGACTCCATTTAGCTCCATGCAGGAGACACAAAGACACTCTGGGCTTTTTGTTCAAGAGGGTCAAAAGCTGATCAGGCCCTGAGCTGTTCATTAATTATTATTGTCTCTTTCAAGCACATCCTTGCACAAAAATATGGGCTCAGTCTTGCTATCACACCAATCAAGCCTTGCAAACAAGCCATTAAAGGAGAATGCAGCCTCCCAGCTCTGAGCGGATGCACCATCCAGGGGACACAGGCATGGAAAGCCCCGGCGGGTTGTTGCCTGCTGTGCCCTGTGCTCCCTGGGATGCTGCAGCGGCTGCGATCCATGGTCCCGCAAGCCTGGGAGCAGCAGCTCCAGAGATTCCCCTTCCCTTTGCGGGAAATGGGTCTGACACGATGCCCTGGATCCCAGCACAGCCTGGGCAGGCACAGCTCAGCTCCCACTGGGTCAGAGGAAGCCCAGAGCTCGGTGCCCCTGTTTCTTCCCCAGCCAAAAGGACCTCAAGCTCAACACCCTCTCCCCAAATACAGCTCACATTTTCTACAAAGTTTGTTTTCACACTGAAATACTCTCCTCTAGCATTGAACCTATTGCATTCTGGTTGTGACTAAAACCGCAGGCTGAATTCCTCGTTTGCACGCACAGGCTGCAGCTATAGCTTTATTCTAAATTTTGCAAAGCAAACAATTGCCATTTAAAACTTGCGTGTTCTATAGCATTAATCAGTGAGGCTGAGAGGAGTTTTCTGGAGTTAATGGAAGCCATCTGATGTCCATGCTAATTCCCAGGCTTTTTATTCTAGTTTGTAATTGGGCTGGGAGGCTGAGACAAGTAGACGAGTTCCTCAGTGGAACTGACCTGCTTTGGGGTGGAAAATGTTGGAAAAAAGAATTTTTAACCAAGACCACTTTGGCTGTTAACCTTGGGAAAGTTTTTGACTGGATCACAGTTATCTTAGGAAGACTGGAGGGTGACTTTCATCTGGCCTCTACTTTTTTGCGGTGGGCCTGACCCTTCCTGTGAAATCATTAATTTCTTGGTGACCACAGGGACATCCACTTCAGGACTGCAAAAGTCTCAGAAAGGAAAAATCCACCCAGAAAGTGAGTGATTTTAGTGGAAGGGAGGGAGAACTGCTTTGAGTAAATCTTCCCCTAAATCTGGGCCCTGACTGCTCCCCCGGGACGGAGGGACTGCGCCAGGGTGAGTGTACGAGGAGACGTCAGCGCCTTCGTGCAGGGGCTGGGGAGGAAGAGCCCGTGCAGCCTGCAGTGCTCAAGCTTTGTGTCGCTGCCCCAAAACAGCTTGAAGTAGCCTCCTGGGTCACTCGGGCAATTAGCCGCTGCTGTTTAAATAGCCCTCTGTAGGGAGGGACTGTCAGGCCACGTCCTGGGCTGATGTAAATCAGTGGAGCCCCTTTGCCCCAAAAGGAGAAGCAGTGGGTTGTTTTTTAGCTGGTGTCTGACCCGCTCCCCTCTCCGCAGCCGCAGAGTCTGTGCCGCTGCGCCGCAGAGCCGGACGGCTGCCTACACCGAGTCCCACGTCCAGCCCGTCTACCAGCCCTACCTCACCACTTGCCAGGGCCACCGCCTCTGCAGCACCTACAGGTGAGGGCAGCCGCCTGCACCACCGACCTGGTCCCTGAGATGGAGCCGGATCCGTCCCAGCGAGGCAGTGACCCATGGGGGCTGCTGAAGGGGGGAGTCCTGCCTTGATCCCTAGAGAAGGGGCTTCCAGCCCCTGGGCAGGGGGTGCCAGCGCAGGGGGTCTGATCCACTGGAGTGGGAACGGGATGGGGGGCTTGGGGCAGATGCTCAGTCACCCAGCTCAGCCCCATCCTTGCGTTGCAGGACCATCTACAGGGTTGCCTACCGGCAGGCGTACAAGCAGCTGCCCCAGCCCGTGGCCTCGTGTTGTCCCGGCTGGAGCAGAGCTAACAGCCACACGCTCAGCTGTGACAGAGGTAAGAGGCTGCTGTGCCACCCTGGTGCCAGCACTCACCCTTCCTCCAGACCCCATGGCCCGGGTAGCTCAGGTCCCTGGACGAGGCCCCAGCAGCCAGCTCTCTCATTTAGCAGCACTCTGCCTGTCAGGCGGATTCTCCCTGTAGGAAAGCATTTAAATTTTCGGCATCACAACAAATGTGGTTCAATTTCTGATTAATTCCCAGGCTTTCTCTGCTGCCTCGCAGGCCTTTTTCCTTTGGGATCGCCTATTAACTTTATAGTTACCAGAGGATAAATAAAATGAGTAAGTCCTTTCCATATAAATCAGCAGTAATAGAAGAGAAATGCTTTCAGGAGGCAATCATGATGTACAGCACAAAACAAATGCAAACCACATCAGCAGCTAGTCCATCCCCAGATGGGCTCAGAGCGCAGCACCAAGGGCTTCCCAGTGCCTGCTGCTGCCCATCAGCCCTCCTCCCTGCCAGCTGTGCTGGCTGCAGGCACCTCAGCCTCTTTCCAGGCTGCAAAACCAAGGTCCTGTTCATCCCACCTATCCTGTGCCCTGTGCACCCCAGTCAGCCCAACCCCACCACTTTGGGGCTGGGGCAAAGCATCCTGGCCCTGGGCTGGTGCTGGTGTGTGTTTTGCTGTGTGTGTGTGTGTGTGCACTGTGTGTGTCTACCCATACCCACGGTGGCAGGGGAGGAAGCTCAGGGCCCCCAGAGCTACCCGGTGATGCTGTGCCCATGTTTTGTCTTGCAGCTCTCTGCTGGGTGCCGTGCCAGAACGGTGGGAGCTGCACCTTCCCCGGCAGATGCGCCTGCCCGCCTGGCTGGACGGGGCGAGCCTGCCAGACAGGTACGAGCTGTGCCGCTCCCCTCCAGGCTCCCTGAATCGGGCCTGCCCCACTGCTGCCAGGAGAACTTCTCTGGGGAGCAGCAGAGCTGCCATGGGGCTCTGGAGGTCTTCTGCCCACAGACTGAATCCTTGGTGGGGGACGGGGACCAGCACCGTGGCTCCTCACCAGGCCTTGGCACATGCCTGGTGCTACTCAGACCACAGAGGGAAACCAGTGTGTTACACCTCCGCACGCACACACACACGCACACCTACACGTATTGCTCCAGGGCAGCGCTGCCTGATGGTCTGGCCAGGAAAGGATGGGAAGCTTGGCTCCCAGGGGAGCTCTGACCTCCCTTTGGCTGCCTCAGTGCTCCCAGCCCTCATGTGCAGCCCTGGCATCCACATTTTCTGCTGCTGCTCCGCGCTAGGTCAGCGTGAGCAGAGGCTGTACTCTGCCATGACTGTGCAGCAAGCGAAAGGCTTTCTGCAGAGCAGCCGTTTTACACTTGTGGGGTTGGCCTAAGATTGTGTGTTTGTAATGACCCATCTCCCAGGCTTTGCAAATTCTCGCTGTGAACTAAGACACCCATTTACTGCAGAGACTAAATCTGTGAACTGAAAATAACTGGGGATGGAGGGGAAGCCTGGTGATCTCCAGGCACAGAGCTCCTCTCCAGCATGAGCGCAGCCTGGTGCTCCTCACCGGAGCACAGGGAAATCAGGCAGCATGGTGCACACCAGCATGGTGCAAGCTCCTGCCATGGCATTTCCCAGCTTTTCGCCCTCCTGTAGAGCAGAGGAGGAGCGTGTGGCATTGACCCATGCTGGGCCAGGCAGAGCTGAGCACATCGCTGACAGCTCCAGCTCCAGCGCGGGGGGGAAAGGATTTTCCCACTGCCTAAAACAGATTCGCCCGGGCGTGGGAAGTGGTTCAGCTCATTTTGCTTTGTGGGAACAGCTTTAATAACTCCCCCGTGTGAGGAGAGGTTACTGGGTTTTGTACACACTTGAAAGGCTGATAGCTCCTCGCCACGGCTGGCTGGAACCAAAACCCCGGCCATAAATCCAGGATGAGAGCTGAGCACTGCCTGCGCCTGCCCAGCTAGAGCTGGGACATTTCTGACCACAGCTTTTGTTTCTGGCTCTTTTGTGGGGGGAGCTGGTGGAGGTGGGGAGGCCAGATCCCCCTCAGGGTTAGCCCAGGTTTACTCCAGCCAGGTGCAAGAGGAGACGCTGTCCCAGGCGCCAGCAGGTCTTGTACTCACACCCTGCAGTGCTGAGAGAACCCAGAGCTGTCCCCAGCACAAATGCCAGCTCGGTCCGGGGTCCCATTGCATCCCCATCCTGCGTGAGCCCATGCGGCTCTAGCAGGGGCAGCAGGACCCCTGCTCGCCTGGCTGAGGCATCCGCGCCTCTCGCCCCTGGTAAGCACCTCCTCACCGCCCCTGTCCTCGCTGAGCCGTACCTGTCATTTCAGACGTGGATGAGTGTGCCGGCCAGAGCCACGGCTGCAGTCAGCTCTGCATCAACACGGCTGGGAGCTACCACTGTGCCTGCCGGGATGGCTTCAGACTCACTGCCGACGACAAGGTGTGCCAGCCCCTGGTGCCAGCGCCCGAGCCAGAAACCTTCAGCCAAGCAGGTAACCTGTCCCTGCCCTGTTGCAGGACAGCCCCGGCTGCTCAGGGCCTTCGATGAAAGCTGGGATTAACACTCAGCATCACAGGGTGGCTGGAGCGGGAGTGGCAAGAGACAGGAGAGGGGACGCCAGCCAAACCCCCTCAGCTTTATTCTCAGTGACCCAGGAGTCCCTCTACCTCCCAAACAACCTCCCCTGTGCACAAGTCCAGACACTGCTCCATCTGCAAGGGTGACAGAGCCTGGCCGTGGCATGCGGTATCTGGGATGTGGCTGTTCTCTCCATCATCGTCATCCTTCCCACAGGGCAAGTCCGGAGCCATGAGGAGCGGCGGGCGCCGCTGGTGACGGCCCATTATTACTTTTGGTACGCGCTGTGACACTTCAAACTCGTACCGTGAGTAATAATGCGCTGTGGCCAGCACAGGCATCACGCAGTAAACACCTGGGAGAGCAGGGCACCATCTGCACGTGCCCTGCAAGCCACCTGCCTTTATCCCCTGTCCAGGGCCCTCAGCAGGGACAAGCCTTCGTGCCCACCCTGGGACAGGGCAGACCCGGGTGCTAACTACTCTGACAACACAGGCACGAAAGGCCAGGCTTCACCAGACGTCTTATCCTTTAAGCATCATCCCACTGCCTGAAAAATTCCCCACTTCGTTGCAGGTACTCCAGCAGGAAGGAGAGGCTTGTGCGCATTAGCAGCAGGAATAGATGCCAGTGCTTGCAGCAGGCGTTGGATCCCATTGATGCTCTGGGGGCTGGTCCCAGCAGGACAGACCCTGGGGGTTCACTAGGAGAGGAATGGAAAGCAGCAGAGCTTGGCCTGAGCCCTGCAGCAATGTCTCTCCCCAGCACCTTCCACTTCACCTCAGGCAATGGGCTTTTACCCACTGACCTTCTCTTCGTCACTTTTTCAGGTCCCCCAAGTGAAATGAAGGAAGAAATGAAAGACCTGAAGAGCAGAGTGGAAGCGCTGGAGCAGGTGAGCTTTCAGCACCCACCTCTGTCCTGCCCTCACTGCCCTGTTGCAGCTCGAGGCTGCTCTCAGCCAGGTCCCACCCTGGGCTGTTTGCAGCCAGGGTTTCCCTCCGCCCCAGCTCTATTTTTAACATCATGCTGGCCTCACGCTGCAGCGATCCCAGCTGTGCTCCATGCTGCCGGCAGCACCCACGCAGCAGCTCTTCCAGCCCAGCGGCCCTTTGAACGCAACCAAAGCCCCGCAAGCTGGCTGGCGTGCGGCCCCGGTGGGGTGCACCCCGGCAGGCAGCATGCTATGTCCCACCAGGTGATCCTCCTGGCTGGGGAGGACACGCTAACGGCTCTCCTTCTCCCTGCAGAAACTCCAGTTGGTGCTGGCCCCCTTCCACAACCTCATGCCATCTGCGCCAGAGGATGTTGGCACAGACCCCATCAGCCGGCTGTCCCACTCCCTCCAGCAACTGGACAGAATCGACTCCCTGAGCGAGCAGATCTCCTTCCTTGAGGAGCGACTGGAGACATGTAAGTGCCTGGAAAAAGCAGGGTTGAAGTATTTCACTCCACCCACACTGGCCACGGTGAGCAGATGCAGGCCAACAAGATCAGTAACACATAAACCACTATTAATCTCTATCTCCCTCAAGCTCAGCAGCCTGTAATTAATAAAAGATGAACACAAACAGCCCATTAGCTTCATTTCAAAGCTGTTTCTATGGCTGCGCCATCTGACTGTCCTTGTAGCAGCCAAATCATAAGATCGGCACATGGAAATGTGGCTCTGGGGCAGAATCAGAGGGAGCCCACTATGAGCAGTGGGTCACGTCTCGCAATCTGCACCCTCACCGGCTGTGTTCCCTTCCTGTACCGTTATGACTTAGTCCGTAGAAAAGAAACCCTAACTCTTACGAAATTAACAGCCCAAAAAGTCAATCAGGAAAGTGCAGGGACCATGCAGAAGTTGGCAGATTTACGAGCCTGGGAAGTTTTAAGCATTTCTTTTTGAAGTCTACAGACCAGTCCTTTGCCAAGCAGTGGACCAGAGAGGGTCTCTTAAGTAGCAAACTCTGAAGAAGAGACACTGGTGGGAGCTCTCGTGTGAAATGGCTGAAGGTGGGGGAGGTCCTGCCTGGCATGCTCCCCCACAGCATGGCAGAGCAGGGCAGCATCTCCTCGGGTCCCTGAGGTATGTGCAGAGCTCTCCCTGGAACACTGCAGCTTGACTCAGAGCAGAGCGCAAACCATACGAACACTTAATATTTGATAGGCAGCTCTTTTTCCCATTAAATAATTCCAGTCAAACACATCCAGAAACTAGGCATGGCTGGGACAGCTCAGGAGGTCGTGTGCAGCGGCAGCCTGGTGCTCATGGCAGAGGGGTGAGGATGCTTGGAAAGACTTAAGGGGAAACTGTGTTTCAGGGCATATCCAGTCCCAGTTCACTGCTTGCAGTAATGGCTTAGATATAAAAGACTTCAAAGAACTTGTTTGAAAACTAAGTAGCTGCAAATAGACACTTAAAAAACATCTCAGAAAGGGGTAATCATCATGAGTGTTCCAGCAGAACAAGTTTCCTAGTACTGCCCTATACATATTATTAGTGACAGCACCGAGGAATGTGAGCAGTATCACAAGGTAACATGGATTTATTCCAAGGGATGACTCCAAAGTCCTGAAATTAACTTCTGCCAAGCCTGTTCCGGCAAGCAAAACTTGTTTTTGTCCCTCTCATGGTCCTGAAAGTCCCTGGAGGACTCAAGACTGTCCTTTCATACTCCAGCAAGCACTGGGGCTTGAAGGGCATCTCATGGAGAGTAAAGCAGCCATCCATTTTCTGTGCCTTGTGAAGCATTTTACAGCTGAATGCTAAGATACAACTGCACCCTCCAATTATCTGCCCAGTGGGGATGTGTGTAAGGACTAAAAATAATTTTCTTTTCTTTAAACCACCAGTGAAGGCATAAGACCGGATCTCTTTAAGCCATAACCATTTTAGCCCCTCTAAGTCTGAATTACCCCCAATTCAGCACAGACTGTCAATGCTCGGCTGTGACACAGCCAGTTAACAGCAAGACAGACCCACAACTGCCTGTGGCTGTGCCACAGCCACCCCGTGTGGTCCCTTCCCCACCCCAGGAGCTCCCTGGGCGCTGGGGACTTTGGTGACCAGCACCACCTGCTTCTGATTACTGTCACACAGAGCCACCTGCTGCGTCCATGGCAGGGACAGGCTGGTCCCAGCCACCCGTCCTGGGCCAGTCAGTGGTATTGTCACTGGCTTCGCCCCCCACCTCCAACCTTGGGATACTTTGCACAGGACTGCCCAGGCGAGGCTGGTGAGGACTGTAGCACGCTGGGGAGGCGAGAATGACGCTCCCAAATGTGGCAGGACAGAGCCAGCCTGGGGTTGTTTGGCAAGGGGAAAGCATCAAGTGTGGGTGATACTTACAGAGGTTGAGGTCATCCTTCTCAGGGAAGGAGACAAAGCAAACCCAAGCTAACAATATTACTGGATTGTTGGGGTGGTTTTTTTTTTTTTTCTGTCTTCCCAGGTTCCTGCAAGAATGAACTCTAGCCGAGCACCCAAGGAACTGGAGCAAGATGCACGCATCCGCAGCTCTTCTCTCACTCTCCAGCCTCAGTCTGGGGCCAAAGCCACATCATCTACAGGAAGGCACAGGGCAGCAGGAGAAGGCTGGTTTCCCATCAGCATCTCCATCATTTTCTCTTCCAACTCACCTTATCAAAGGCCACACAGTTACTTCCAAACTGGACTCTGAGCCCTCAGCATCTCAGCCCCTTCCTGATGGAGAGGCAGAAAATAAATGCCTTACCTCGTGCCATTAGTGCCGGTCTGGCTGTGCCAGAGAGACAAGCTGTACGTGAGCCGTGTGGTGCTTAGCTTTGCCTGGCTTTTACTTAGCATTACCCTGGGACACCATCTCCCAGGGAGCAGGGGGCACAGGGCTGGTTATGCTGCCTGCCCAGCCGAGCACAGACCTGGCCCGGGCAGGACAGCTGCCCCCACCACGCTCCCCCTACCTGCTCCCACCCAAGGAAGGCAGGGACAAGTCCTGCGTTTGGAGGACTACGGCCAAAAAGGACTTGTGGCGGAGGGGGTAACCCCAAGCCAGGCATCATGACAGGGGATGGGTGCGACTGGTCCCTGCAAAGGTACGGCGCTGGCTGGATACAGGGAGCGGGTGCCCATCCCTGCCGCTTCTCTTCTGCTCTCTGGGACCAGCCTCCCTCCGTGAGCGCTGGAGGTGGGCTGGTGCCTCACCGCTTCTTAGCATGACAGCTGCAGCAGCTTGTTCTGAATTTACCTGCTCCTGCTCGCAGTCCTCTGCACCATCCCTGGGCCCTACAGAGCAGTAACAAGGCTGATGGTTTTACATGGACCTGAAGGTGCAGAGAGTCTGTTTTTACTTGTTTTAATAGAAAAACCTTTCCCTGTGACACTCCCATCATGGGCACAGAGCAGACAGGGACAAACCTGTGCCACTCAGTAGCGCCAACAGGGTGAGGCCAAGGAGGGAGGGAAAATCCCTCTGCATGCCTGCATTGAGGACTGAGGCCTGGCAAGCCCAGGTGTTTACACTGGCACGAGCACCGGCTGTTGGGTTAGCTGGTCTCTCCCAGACCCAACAGCCACTGTGCTGTCAGCCCACAGAACATGTACCTACCTCCCCCCCATCACCATTTGCTCAAGCCCAAGGACACTGCTACAGCAGAGCAGACATGACCAACCTGGTACGCGTTCCTCCTTGCCTAGAGCAGAGATGCAGGAAGAGCCACGTGGGCAACAAGGTGCTGCAGGGCTTGTACCAAAATAAAGCCTCCTGCTGCGCACGCTGAGGCTGTGGGATCGTTATTGGCTGGGCCGGTGGTTGCTCCAGGGCCCTGCTTTGACATGGGCTCCCATTTATACGGGCACCACCCTCCTCTTCCCCTGGGCAGGTCCCTGCCTGCATTTGTCCTCCTAGTTCAGGCCAGGCTGTGGCTCAGTGTGAGGCTGGGGTGCAGAAGCACAGCCCTTCTGCCTGTGGGGCACAGGGTGGGGACAGGGACCTGCCATTGCTCCTCTATCACCAAACCCACCCCCTGCAAGAGCTGATGGGTCAGCACCCTTCTTCCTCCTGCAGTAGCCCTCCTCCCCCAGCTCCCACACAAGACCAGGAGTCTCCTTTATTTAAATAACCAAAGGTGTACTTTTTTTTTTTAAAAAGCACATAACATTATTCTCAACCCAATTAAAAGTGAACAGCAGACAACTGCACACAGAGGCACTGCTTCCTCCTCCCAGGGAAGGATGCTGCAGGAATCACTCCATAGACATAGTTATCCCCCCCAGGAGCCCTCCCAGGACCCTCCTGGGTTTAACCTCCATGACAGCCCTTTATCTGCTGCTTACACAGTGCTGGTTTGGTTCCCATCCTCCCACCCCAACCCATCCCACAGCGGGTCTGACCCCTGAGTCTGTACTGTAAGGCCCCTCTGATAAAGCCCCCTGGCCCCCACCAGCACCAGCTCAGCCCGAGGGCTCCCTCCGTTGGGGACCGCTGGCTCTACAGGAACTCCCTGCCTTTCCCAGTTGAGGCTTTAACACTAAAATGCCATATGACTGCAATTCCACCAATGCAGCCCCAGACAGGCTGCAAAAGCCAGTTGCATTGGTTACCCGAGTAGCCCAGGTGGCTTATCTCAAGGTTATATACACCCTGCACCACAAAAAGGAGAGCTAAAGCCTCCCTGAACCCAAACTGGAGGTGAAGGTTACCCCCTGGAACCATGGACCTTACCCAGCCTTGCTCTTCACAGAGGGCATCAACACTTCTGCAGCTCCCAGCAAGGGATCCAGGAGCCCTGCTGGTCCATCACGCCAAAGCACAGGGGAAACCCCTTTATGTGAACAGGGAAAGGAGTCCATTTCCCCCAAAGGGAGAGCTGAAGCCTTCCAAGCCCTGTTGCAGCTCACCCACCCTGTGGCTCGGCAGGAGTTTTACAAGCCTTGCAGAGCAGCAGCTCCACCGAGATCAGCAAAGATACACGAGATAGGCACCATCTTTCGGCCAGTGCTGACCATGACAAGTGGCAAAACGAGCATGACAGAGCCCTTTGCATCTGCAACGGGTACTGTAGGCACCAGCATGCCTGCTGCAACCAGGCTGAACCACCACCACAGCAGGGAGTTGGCAGCACAGTTTCCCGACACCAAGGAAGCTCTGAGCCAACCCAGGTACATGTCACACATGGCATCCAGAGGCATACCACAAACAAATCACACATGAGGACAGGTTTGCCCAGGACTCTGACAGATCTGTGCAGTTTTTAAAATCAAGCTGGTGGCTCTGAATGGTAGAAACAAGTGTGGGGTTTCGTTTAGAAGATGACTAAACCAGCAAGGCTGGACAGCATTCAGCTAAACTCTGCCCAGACCACATATGCTGGCTTGGTCAGACTGCAGCTTCCCTCTCCATTGCTGCACTCCTCAATGAGCAAGGACACTTGTTCAGACAAGGCAGTCAAGCCTGAAGCCACTATAAGGCTGACTGGCCCCACACATTCCCATCTGCAGCCCAGCTGAGGTTATTGGCCCTGGGTGCTTCCTTCAGAAGTAAGAGACTTGGCTCAAGAGTACCTGGGCAATGCAGAGCCCCAGTACAAGATGCTGCTGTGACCCTAGGGTGTCTCTCAAGGAGAGAGGCCCTGCACCAGAGACCACCCATGAGCTTCACCATGCTGGATAGCAGTGCTCCAGGGAGGATGCCACACCTCCAGTGCTGCCAAAGAACCAGAGTCTGGACTTTCATCTGATTCTCAGCCCTGTTTGAGCAGCACCAAGGTCATGCAGATACAAACCGCTGCCTGGTGGTTTCCAACTGGGAGAGCACGGGGCCAGGCCAACACTAGCTGAGCCTGCAGGAACACAGGTGCAGGGACACTCATATGAGGCAGAGCCCAGCCTCCAGCCAGGTTTTCATTGTCACCCCACACTAGCTGCCTGAGCTGTGGGAACTCACCTCTCTGGTCATTCAGCCCTTTGGTAGCACAAGTTTGATGCCTGAGAAATTCAGAAAAAGGAGATATTTCATTGCAAGATAATGAACCCATAAAAGAAATCCACTCAGTGGGGAAACTCAGCCCTGGCTCGACAGCCTGCATGTGCCAGTCCATGGTGTTCCCAGAGTTAGAAGTCACTGCAGAGGAAGAGAAGTTCTTTCGGTATTTGGCAACAGAGAGGTCCCTTCAGCCACCACCACATGGTGATGCCACTGGAGAGGCATCTAGGATGAGTCCTTTGCCTCACTTGGACAGCCTGACAGCCTGAAGAGGGTCTCCCTCATGGTGCGGAAGCATCTGTCAGTGAGGTCAGAGACATCACCTGATGTCAGGCCTTTGGTCTCTATTGCAGGCAGAACCTCAACCTTGATTTTGCCTGGGAACAAGAGAAGAGCCTTTGAGAAACCCACATGCCACAGGAGCACCATTCTCTGCCCTCCCAGGACCCCTGCTCCCCCTGCCCTGGACAGGCCCCACACAGCCCTCATCCCCCCACAGGGCTTCAGGCATCCATCCCTGGAGCACAGGCAGAGGCTGCACTGGTCTCAGGGGTAAGAGATTGCTCTGGAGATTAGACACAGCCCTTGAACAGCTGCACCAAACAGAGTATATCCATTGTGCCCCAAACTGACAGACCAGCCAGAACTTGCCCTTTTCCAAGGCCGGTGTCCCTGCTCTGCTCCCATCTGCTGGCCAAGAGAGTAGGGGGAGCCCAGGACCATGGACCCACTCAGCTCCAGGGCCATGCCAGGCACAGCCTGCACCCAATGCTCCCTCCATCTGCTTCTGTCCAACCCTCCTACCTTTGGCTGGCTCCAGCCATTCAGGCAGGGAACATGACAAGCATGGCTTCCTTCTAGAAATGAGAGTTACTGCTCCAAGTTGACTGAAAGCCAACTTCCTGCCCAGCACTTGTACTGACAGACTTCAGAGCTTTGATATGACCAGCTTCCTTGGTTTGCTTGCAGAGAGGTCCTGGCTTTGAAAGGTCAGGAGGCAGAGCATGCTTGCTTCTTCCCCCAAGCCCTCACCAAATGACTTGGGCTGTGCCAGTTATGAGAAGGAGAGGTGGTATCCAATTTTTAATGAAAACATCCCTCACTGTACTTAATTACATTCTTTCCAGAGTTAACCCAGCTCAGGCTCTGGTGCCAAGTGCTTTGAACTGACTCCACACATCTCCCAGAAAGACTCCTCCTGTTCACCCTAGCTCCGCTTCCCTCCCACACCCTTGTGAACCAGATCTCCACATGGGTATGGCATCAACCCTGTCTCCGAGTGACTGTAAAGACCCTCAGGCTCTTTGGTACCTGATGTAAATAGATTCTTCTTTGGGTTATAGAAGCTTGTGAAGGAGGAATACACCACGGGGATCACTGGAACCTTGGGGAAGAAGAGGAGCAACTCAGGGCAGGCCAGAGATAAGCAGCAAATCCCATGCAGCCCAGCTGACCTGGCCTGGCTCTCAGACATAGAGGGCACACACAGCCCCACAAGCAAGACCCAATTCCAAAGGCTGGGACAGTCAGGAGTCAAATGGGATTGAAACCACTCCCCAGCAACTCAAGACACAGGGACATTCAAGGCACTAGGGCCAAGTTACACTTCAGCCTCAGGTCAGCACTGGCTCTCAGGGCTTCTCATCCCAAGCCAGGCTTCAAAACTCAGGTATTTTCTGACCTGCAAACATTGGAGGATGCCTGTTTTGACAGGCCTTGCCATGCTGTACAAGCACATGTTTGGGGCAGGCTAGCTGGTGTGCCTTCAGCTTCTAAGAAAAGGAGTCGCCAGCTGCAATCAGTTGCTCCCAGGAAAGCTTCAGACAGGCAGAGACACAGCCAGGAGGGCAGGCACAGAGTCATTATTTCAGTGCTGATAACACAGACACAATTTACAGTCAGTGACTCAGGGGGAGGGTTAGCAGAGGTGGGTACCATTTCCACTGTTGTCCCTTCCTTCTGGCAGCAGCCAGCTCCTGCTTTGGTTGCATCACCCTGGCAGGAATGAGGATAGTACAACGCAGGCTACACCCTGGGCTTGGCCAATTGAACCCAGCAAGAGATCTGGCACCTACTCCCTTCTCCAGGATCCCTGCTATAGCACCTCTTTTAGGGAAAGCAGTTTCCCCTCAGGCCTCAAGTCATCCTAGTTCTGAGAAGCAAGGCAGAGCATGCACAGGAAGGCAAGGCACCCATCTCCTCCCAGCCACCTCTCCAGCACCTAGTCCCCAGCACCTGGGAGCCGAGCAGGGTGGCCCAGCTTCCAGCAACCACCTGGGCCCAGGTAGCGCAGCCAGGTCTTCAGCATCCCTGGCACACTGCCCCGGAGCTCTGCCCAGGCAAGCACCACCGCTCCTTCAAGAGTGCGGAGAGATCTAGCTCTCTGAAGCCAAGGAGCTCTCTGTCTGCTCCTCCACTAACTGCTCATGGATCTTGTCATTTTGGAGAAGGCATTTAAGCAGCACCATATGGCTGTCTGGGAGGGAGCAGCTATTTCCACACAGACCAAGCCCAGATATTGTTCTAAAGCACTAGCATTAACAATTCTGAATCAACACTATGCTATTGCAACTGGGGGGATTGAGAAATGCATCAACAGCTTTAGGATTCACCAGGCAAGCTCACAAAGTGCAGCACCCATGGGGCTCCCTGCCAGAAGCAAGCTCTGTGCTGCAGCTGTGCTCCCAGGAGCAGGTCACAGACACTGCACCACCACACTGCCAGGCGGCTGCCTGCAAAGCCTAGAGCTAAGGGGTCAAGTGCGCCTGTCCCCCACACTCTGCCCTCCAGATGGGACCCTGGGAAGGCAGTGCTGGGGCAGTCAGGAGAGAGGACGAGAGGCAGCTTCTCCACTGTCTGCAGCCATTCGTCCACAGGAGTCAAGTCACTCCTGCAGGGCATGGAAGAGGCTCCTGCTGGGCAGCACTTATGACACCTAATGGTGGTTTGGCTGAGGAGCTCAGCTGTCAGCTGGGAGCACAGCTCACTTGAGAGCAAATAAACCGTACCACTGCATGGCCAGTCTACAGTGCCACTGCAAAAGCATTCAGGGTCCCCAAGCAGGAGCAAAGCGCTGTTACCTGTGCCTGGACAGCCAGGTGAAATGCTCCTTTCTTGAATGGCAGCAGATCCCCAGTGCAGTTCCTTGTGCCCTCTGGGTACACCCACACCTTCACCTGCACATGGGGAGATAAGGCTCTGCTCCAGCAGTCCATTTGCAGTGCTCCCTTCCTGCTGGCTGAGCCACCAGCCAGCCTTGCCAAGAGCTGCAGGTGGCTGTAACTCCAGGTGAGCCAGCACCAGGAGTTCCACATCCCCCCATGCCACCCCGCCAAGCCCCACAGTCACACTCACTTTGTCAGCTGCCATAGTCTTGGCCACCTCTGCCATCACCATCTTGGCGCTGGTTGTGCTCTTCCTGTTGATGAAGATGACACCACCGAGGTAGATGATGAGCCCCACAGTTCCGGCATACATCAGCTCCTTCTTGCCCACCTGGACACAATCGTCAGGCAGGACCTCCATCAGCCCTAACGTGACAACAGAGGGTGAGACCCAGCAGTCACCCCCCCACCTGCACTCAGATGGGACAAGAAACACAATGTGGGGTGTGGAGGAGAGTACCAGGGTCAGGCCAGTGCCTTGTTTCTCTGCTGGCTTCTGCTGCCATCAACAGAGCAGAAGGAGACTTGGCACACAGCAGAATTACAGGGGCAGGGTGGCTGCAGGTCATAGCAAGACCCCTCAAGAGGCAGCTTGCTCCTTGGCCCCAGGGTGCCCAGCAGGGCCACCAGGCACACTGACATACATGCTAGGCCAGCCAGGCTATCAGTGAGGCAGGGATGTAAAAGGCAGCTGAGAAGCACCTGAAGCTGAGCAGTACCTGGGGTGCTGCACAGGGATGTGATAGCTCAGAGTGAGGGGAGACCCTTCCTGCAACCAGCACTGACAGAGAAAGCTGGACCAGCTGGCTCAGTAGCACAGACTGGCCAGGGCAGGGGGCTGCTTGGCCAGGAGATATGAGCAGGATTTCTCTGATGGTGAGCAAGAGAACTGCTCCCTCCCTCCCACCAGCTCCTCACCCATCATGTCGAGGATGCTCTGGTGGTTGGACACAATGATAGCAGGGCCCTCCATCTCAAAGTTCTCCAGTCCCTTCACCTCAAACCTCACGCCAAAGAAATACTTGAAGGTCTTGACCACAGTTTTGATGATTCTGCAGAAGAGAAGAGCAGTCAGCAGCAGGGCAGGGAAGCCACAGGGTCTGCTATACCCAGGGTGGGTGGAAGCAGACAAGAGCTCTGTGAGAGAGAACATCCAGTCTCATTTGCCCTGTGGTCCACCCAGGTGTGTCCTCTGCATGGTCTCATGTGCATGAGGTGCATCAGTTGCATGCTAAGCCCTGTCCACTCCCAGTGTGGGAATTTTACAGGAAGCCTGGGGGAAGCTGATTGCAACTTTGAGGCCAGTACAGCCAGACTCGACAGTCCATGCTTCCTTCAAGCTGACAGCATCAGCTCTCAACCAGGCTCACTACAGGCTCTTCAGAAGAGGCAAGTCCAGCCTAGTGCAGCTGCAAGAGCCCTGCAAACAGAGGGCAAACTGGAAGCCCTCCAACATCCAGGAGGGATGGACACTGGTTTCAACACTGGATCAAGGACCACTCCTCCTGCTGCCCCTGTGGGCTGCCAGCTTCTGGCATTTAGTGCTGTTTGCTTCCCCCTATGCCATGGCTGTAGTCTGCTCTGATGTTACCAATGTTTTCTTCCTGAAATCAGCGGAGCCCTGCAAGTTTTTCAAACATTTCTCCTAGGAGGTGCCACTCCCCAGCACATGGGTATTAGCCTGCATACCTGTCACCCAAGGAAGACTCCGCCAATTCTGCTCCTTGCACTGCCAGAAGATGCTGCTTAATGATACAAACAAACACGGGGTGCTGTTACCCCAGGGGATTCCAAGAACAGAGGAGAATGAAAGTGAAAAACACTTCCCTTTACAATGCAAGGATGCAAGCAGCAAACAGGATGCTCCCCATGTAGCTTGGCAGAGGCTAGGTGCCCCTGGCAAACCCACCTGCAAGCAGATAGCTTCTGCCTGTCAGTTCACTTCCCCAGTGGATCTACAGGTCTGTTCACAGAGCTCACAGCTTTCTTCCCCTGTGCCGAGGGCTGGGGGGCCCAGCTGGCAGAAGACACCAGCAGCTCCACTCAGCCCTGCCAATGCATCAAGCAGGTTGCTGTGCCCTTGCTGAGCACAGCCAGCCCAGGCTCACCAGCCCAGACCCTGCCAGCCCATGGGAGCAGGGCCCATCTGTGCCACCCCCAGACAGGTGGGAGCTGGGGACCCTCCAACTGGGCCAAAGGACACAGCCAGAAGCTGGCAGCACACAGGGGCTATTTTGGGCAGGGGAGCAGCCATTTGCCAGGATAGGAGGCAGAGGAGCGTGCACATGAACAAAGATCCCAGAAGCAGCCACCAGCTCTGCTCTGTTCTCCCCAAGAGCAGATTCAGGAGCTGACCTGCCCTCTGGCAAGGATCTGGATGCCTTGCCTCAGGGCCCACCTTCTCCCTGGCAGACAGGGGATGGAGCCTTCCTCCTTGCAGGAGGAGACTGAGGGACAGTGTCAGCTTCTCCCCCACCACAGCATCCAGCCAGAGAGCTGTGTAGCACCATCAGCCTGGAAAGCACCCCTGTCACCCAGGGTGGGAGATGAGCACCTGGCCAGCATCTCATCCTGGCTTGGCAGCAGCTCCCAGCATCTGCTCTCCAGAAGTATCCCCACACCTGCCATCTTCAACCACACACCTCTGTCAACACAACTTTCTCCAGCATGCTCCTACCCACAGCAGGGTTCATAGCTCCGTGGGGTGTCCCACCATGCAGACGGTCCAGGCGCTGGCTTTGAAGCTAGAGTTCAGGCCAGGCCAATGTCCGCAGGTGACACAGCTGAGTGATACCGCTGCTATCAGTCCCTCAGCATTCAAACTTGCTGCAAAGGTTAGAGCCGCACTCAGGGAAAGGACACGGGGAGGTGCACAGGCCGCAGAGCCCCCAAGCACCATGGGCCTGCACTAAGGTTAGAGGAGTGCAGTCCGGGTGAAGAGATGAGGGGGCAGGTAAGGTGAGGCAGGGTGACATAAATCGGTGAGGTCATGGGGGATGCCATGCCACCAGACTGACCTAAATCCCACTTCTCCTCCCTTCTGACTGCCAACCAAAAAAGAGGTCACTGCTCTGGAAGTCACACTGCTCAGTAGCTGCCGGGAGAGGCTGGTTACACATTACTCAAGACCAACCATCCAACTTCCTCCTGCCAGTAAGGAGCAGGCGTTTCCTTGCACAAGATGTGGCCTGAGCCACTGAAAGAGGCAAAGGGGCAGAGCTTAGAGCAAGTGAAGAACCACCGGGTGACTGGCAGCCCTGCTGAGCTGGCCACGTCATCCACAGGGTTAAGCAGATGGGTCCTACTCCCCTCCAACCCTGCAAGCAGCTTCTCTGCTGGTATGAACGATCCTGACTTGGTGCAGTCACAGCTGCAGAGAGTTGTAAATCTGATGCACTTATTGCCAGACACAAGGAGAGAGTAGAAAAAATGAGAGGGAACGTGCCTTTTCAGTGCATCCGTAACAGCCTGAGTCCGAAAGCCAACAGCCCACAGCTTCATGTGCTCTGCTCCACAGCCTGTGACAAAGGCCTTTTTAGGATCCTCTGATTTTCAAGGATTAACGAAGTGTGCTTACCAGATTGGAAGCTCTTGCGAGAGGTTTTGCCGCTAGATAAACAGCTCTATCAGACACAGAGGGCAACCTCTTCCAAGTCACACCAGCTTGGCACTGGAGCCAGGAGCACAGCAAGGACAGGGTGTTCTGCACCAGGCAGCGACGCTGTTATCACTGTCTGTCCACCAGCACGTGCTCTGCTCCAACCCCCTTTCCCAAGCCAGAATAAGCAGACTGGGATGTTGTAGAAAGGAGCTCACTGGATCACCTCAGCCACAGACCTCCCAAGGGCTGGGATACATGACCAGGATCATCAACCCGTGCCAGTACATGGAAACGATGGGCTTAAGTTACAGGAAAAGGGTGGTTCTGGCCAAAATTCAGCTCTGAGTTTCAACATGAGGAGATGTCCAGTGCAAGGAGTTCTTGCTCCCAAAGAATTCCTTTAAGTTTACAGGAGATTTACAAAGTTTTAGGGGTAGGAAAAAGAAAAAAAAGAATGCCTCTATAACTGACATCATAAATTCTCCCAGCTGCAAAGCTGGCTGTGCATTAGAAAGCTGCTCCTGAGCGAGCCAAGGCAACCAAAGCTGGAGACAGACTGTTGTTTTCAGTGCCTGGGGCCACAGCACCAGAGTGGATCGCAGACCATCAGCTCGGGCAGGCAGGGCTGAGCCCACAAGGCAGCACATCAGTACCCTGTGCCCGCTCACTCCACCCTGAGTCCTGCCTGCGAGAGTCACACTGCAAAACAAAGTCCAGCTCCACCAGCTGAGACGCTGCCCAACCTTTGATCCAAAAGGATGTACAAAGGCAACAGGGCTCCCCTTTCCACCACACCCATATAACCTGGCCTAGACACAGATGGTTAGAGTAGGTAAAAAGCTGCCTACGGGAGAGCAAAGCAAAGAGCCCAAGTTCTCCTGTGCTGCCAGCAGAAGTGCCGGCTCTGCCCTTAAAATGCACCTTCGCATGTAGAAGAGCTGCTTTTCTCCAGCAGCTCCTCAGCCACCGCCCCAGGCATCCTGTCAGAGGACACAGGCAGCAAGGCCTGACAGCAACAAGCATGCCCGGGGCGGCTGCATGGCCGCTGTGCTCCCTGCACCAGGCCGAGGGCAGAATATTAAACACCGTCTGCCAGCGGGCAGCCCTGCTGGCACAGCCTCTGCTTCTGGAAGGGTAAAAAAAAAAAAACACCACCACCAAACCCAAACAAACACCGCTGTCGTGCGACTTCCCCCAAAACCCAGCCAGCCCCTGGAGCATGGCCGCTTGCCACCATCCTCACACCTTCCAGGCCCCTCTGAAGGGCACTCATCCCCAAACAGGTCTCCCTGAAGGTGAGGGCCCAGCTCTGGGCCAGAGCAGCCCCCCCAGCACCCTCCATGAGCCAAAAGGCAACCCTGCTGCCACCAGAGCAGCCACCTGAGGGTCTGTCACAGCCCTGAGGTAAAGGGGGCCACCATCAGCCCCCCCCCCCCCCCCAGAGGCTGGGACTGAAACCGATCTCCCCAGTTTGTGTTTCACCTTGGGCCCTGCTATGACACCCGTGTGTGTGTGTCCCCCCCCGCCCCGTGTCGGCGGGGCTGGCTCCCCCCCACGTCGCCTCGGCCACCCCCTCCTCACCTCATGTTCTTGACGGTTCGGCCGCCGTTGACGAGGAGGCAGACGGGCGCCGCCAGCGCCGAGCCGACGACGCACAGCAGGCAGTAGAAGCCGATGCGCAGCGCGAAGTTGACGGCGGGGCTGAGCTCCATCAGGACGTGAAGCAGCAGCAGCACCCCCGCACCCCACAACAACCACCCCAGCTCCATGCCGCCGATCGCCGAGACCGCACAAACCCGCCCGAGACGGAGGTAAACGACCGAGACGAAGAAGCCGCCGCACTCGAACGGCGTGGAGCTACCCCCGCCTTTATGTGGGCGGCGCGGACGGCCCAGCCCGCCCCGCCCGCCGCCGCCCCGCCGCTCCCCTCAGGGCGGGCCGGTCTCCTCAGGGCGGGCCGGGATCTTGTGGAGACGTGGGGGGGTCCCCTCATGGTGCTATGTGGGTCTCGGGTGCCCGCATGGCACGGTGAGGAGGGCTTTTGGTCCCCTCATGGAGCCCTGGGGGGGGGGGCGTCCCCCCTCCTGATGCCATGGGGGCGGTTTCGCTCCCCTCATGGTGCCATGGAAGGTCTTTGGGGTCCCCTCATGGTGCCCTGTGGGGGGTGTTGGGGTCCCTGATGGCACTATGTGGGGTTTTTGGGACCCTCACGGCGTGGTGTAGGGGCTTTAGGTCTGTTCATGATGCTGTGTGGGGGCTTTTAGTCCCTCGTGGCCTGCTGAGGAGGACTTTGGGTCCCCTCATGGTGCCATGTAGGGTCTTTGGGTCCCTCATAGTGTCATATGGGGTCTTTGGGGGTCCCTCGTGGTGCCATATGGGGTCTTTGGGGGTCCCTCGTGGTGCCATGTGGGGTCTTTGGGTCCCTCATAGTGTCATATGGGGTCTTTGGGGGTCCCTCGTGGTGCCATGTGGGGTCTTTGGGTCCCCTCATCGCATGGTGTGGGGGTTTCGGGTGCCCTCTTGGCATTACGTGGTGGTTTCGGGTGCCCTTCATGGCATGGTATGGGGTCTTTGGGTCTGTCACGAAAATTCACAGCTGACCGAGGTCAGCATGGGTCAGTTGCGAATCTTTGTGACAGATCCCCACTCGCCACATCTCCCTGCCCCTCGTCTCGCCCGCATTCTCCACTGGTGCTTGATGCTGGTTTTCCACCAGCACAAATGTGCTGAGCAGGATGGAGCTTTCCCCACTGGCGCTGGGGTTAGGCAGGATCAGGCCCAACAGCTTTGTGGGCGTGAAGCTGGCAGGGGAGATGAAAGCGTGTCTGCTGGAACTGACAAACTGTTTCACTGGCCTCAGCAGGTTTTGCAACACTTTTTATAGCAAAACCCCAGTCCCGCGGGTGGCGGTGACTTCACCGGGCTAAGATGTGACCCTGGTGCTGTGGTCCCGAGCATCCTCTTGGCATCCACAGCTTTGCAGCTTCTGGAAAACTCAAGAAAAAGTGATTGTCCATTTCCAAATAACCCTGGTTCCCTCGGCTCTCCCTAAACTCAACAACAGAGGTAGCGGCTGTTCCCAAATGAGCTGTCACCAAAACGGAGGGGAGCTCACTGGATTTTCACTGACCCTCGGCAGCTTTAATGCTTGAAGCAGGAGACAAGCTCCTTCTCTGCTGGAGAGCTCAAGATCGGCACTCCCTACAGCTGCCAGGCAATGACATCTCAGAGCTGGTCTCATGATGCCTGCTAATGCCACAAAGAACCCTTATTGTATTAGCATCTCGACACAGCATTAGATTAATCCCTCTGGCCTGTGTCGTGCAGGCTGTTCAGAAAGCCTTGCTCCAGTGCCGTGCCAGCCAGCATATGCCTGGGAACTCACCGAGACCTTTTCAGCTGAACATACGCTGGCCCGGAGCAATACTGCATTATCCTCGTGACTTTCACTTTTGTTGACACGGGAAGAAAGTCACTGGTGATCTGTCACTGGGGCATCGTGCAAGCCGATCTGCTCAACTCACAAACGCCAGCTGACATTAGGAAACTGAATTGCGAATCCCAGCACGGCCACAGTGCCGACGGCAAACGGCATTAGCAGAGATGGCGTGGTGGGGATGGCAGTTGTGTGTTTGCTTCATGTGTGGGCTTCTGAAGGAGGCTGGCTGTAAATCCCTTCTCCCCACGCTCTCCAACAGATTAGCTGGAGTATTGCAGATGAAATGTTTAATATTAGTCTGTATCTCAAGGAAGAGGAGTGATTTCTGATGCCAGATTAGAAGCCAGACATGGGCCTGCCTGCTAGCAAGCAGAGCTGTCACGCTGAGTTATTTCATAAGGCAAGCGGTTATGCTGCCAGATGACGACACCCGGTGCATTAACATTATCATAACAAACTGCCTGATGGAAGAGGGGCCTGTGAGCCTCAGTGTGCTGCGTAACGCAACAGGGATTGCGTCATCACCCCTGAAACATGGCTGGTTTTGGGCAGAGGCAAAGGCAACCCCTTCCCTGCCGTCCCAAACTCCAGCAACCAGAACGAAGCAGTTCCGAATTCTTTTAAAAAAACCCCAGCTTACTGGATTGTGCTGCATGTTTTGCATATTTAAACTACTGACTGAATTATTTAGATGTGTTGCAAGTGTACCCTGCAGGTAGGGTAGCTGAGCGGGGTCCAGAAACACTGGCAGGGGCAAGCACCCAGCCAGCACCGAGCAGGCAGTAAATTCTCCACAGCAGGCGCTGCCTGTTGAGGGTGCGTGTGGCACCCAGTATCTTCCAGCACCCTCAGCGGGGACCTTGAAAAGCTGCCTTAAAAAACTACCTCGAAAAGGTAAAAGATTGCTAACAGCAAAGCACAGTGAGCAGAAGGGTCCACACAGCATCGCTGATGGTGGGATTTCTGTGGCTGGGTCCGTGAAAAGCCATAAAGCTGAGAGCATTACCCTTGGCCTTAGTTTTATGATGTCTTATAATAATCTGGCTGTGTTTTTTATCTTTTATTTGTCTTAACTTATTGCTTCCTTTGGAAACAACATGTGACCTCACTTTTGATGACTGTCTTCTGACTGGAAAAGAAATGGAGCCAGGGAGAATATCTCCCACGCATGCAGGGAGAAGGTGAGCGGAGAAGGGAAGAGAGCAAAAGCACTCAGCGGGGTAGGAAGGAAGGAGAGACGTGGCCATTGCCTGGCATCGCCAAGCAGGTCTGAGCAGGTTGTAGAGCAGCGGGAGGCTCAAGGCCAGGCGGGTGGGTGCTCGGTGAGGACCCCCCGGGAGGCACAGGCTGTGCCGAAGGAGGGCTGAGTCTGTCTGCAGAGCAGCATCTCGCTCCCCGCTGCCTCACCGTGCGTCTGCCCTTGACTTCCCACGGCGTCTTTGGCAGCTCTACCCGGCGGCCTGCTTCTCTTCGCCTCCTGCCAAGGGACATGTGTTGAAAGCAGCAGCTGGGTTTGGTGACATTAAAAGCAGGGGGAGGAGGAAGCAACCAGCCAGGCTTCTTCGTTCTTGGCCACGTCAAGGCACGCATGTGCATGGCTTGTGAGCCCTCCCAGGAAGGGCTGATAGTGCAGGTGGCACGAAGACCTGGATTGCTTAAGCGCCTAGACAGCAACCCCTCCTGCTGGGTGCTGCAAAGCAGCCTCGATTGGCAGGGACTTGGGGACAGTAAGATGATCCACGCGTCTGATATAACTTCTTCCAGACCTCTGTCAGTCTATCCATCCATCTACTGATCCATTCTCTTCCCTCTTTACCTGTCTCAACTAGCAGCTGACTTTGACAGATGTCTCAGAGCCTGGTGTCACTGAGTCTCACCTCTGCGTAGCTCGGGGTACACAAAAGAGCCCAGGATCAGATATGGATGTAGTTACGCTGCTATACCTTGCTCCCACATAGCTGGGGCTACAGACTGGTATCCAGGACCATCTTTGCATCTGTAAGCAAGGCTGCCCTAAGGGCTGACACCAGTAGGATGGCATCACTGAAATCTTCTCCTGAAAGCGTTGCCCTGGCAAAGACAGCGAAGAGGTCTGACCTGGGCTGTGCTGTATCTACTGCTGTGCACAGCAGGGCCTGCTGGAGGCTGCTCGGCAAGGCAAGGATGGCAGCTAAGAGCAGTTTGTGCAAAGGATGTGGGTGAACCCCATTTCCCTCTCACTTGTTTCAGCCTAGAAGGGCACCAGTGCATGGGAGGTGAAGCCCTCCTGCCACTCCTCATGTGGGTGGCATGGAAGCCCACAGCCGAACCTACACTTGCACAGGCAGAGCTTCAGACTGACCCCCAACTGCTGCGTTTGCTCCTGCTGCCCCGTGATCACATCCCTTTAGTTGCTGTGCGTGTAAGTAATAACACGTCAGCGCTCTGGTGACAACAGAGTAAACACTTGGGGAGGAACCAGGCTGTTAACTCAGTGTGGTTTGTATGTGAGCGCTGCAGTAACCCTCAGGACTACGTAGCAACAGGGTTGCACGAAAACCAGAAGCATGAGATTGCTAAACTGCCCTGGTGCTGGGCTTCTGCGTGCACAGCCTCCACTGGTCACTGGAAAGAGAAAGAGCCTGAGGGAGTCTGAGTCTGGGAACACACAATGAAGAGAGAAAACATATTGTAAAAGTCTATTAGATAATCAGAGCCTTCCTTCCTGTAATCTTCACTCACCTACAAGTGACTCTTCTGAGAAAGTAACTGTGTTATCTGCTCAGATGTTCTCTCCAGCCGGCTGTGGTTTTATGGTCCTGTTCGACAGGGACTGGAGCGTTTTGCAGGTTTCAGGCCCCACGCAGCCCCTGCCAGCCCCGTAGCAAACGTCCCTGTGCTCTGCAGGTGCCTTGGGACACCCAGCCCTGCCACTCCTAACACACCTAAACCTATTCCTCAGCTATGCTTTTTGCAGATTTGCTTTCTCTGAGCTTGTCTTACCTCTGCCTTGAAAAAATCAATCAATTATTTAAATCCACGTAAGATACAAGGCTGATTTAGCACAATGCTTATCCACATGAGGACCACCACACAAGCAGCCCCATTGAGTGCCAGGGCACTGCTCCTCTGGCTGTCAGTGAGGCTGGAGATGGGTGTTTGCAGAGTCAATGCACCATCCATCAAGGATTACTGCTAGGGCTTACACCCCACTGTGCCCCCCAGCACTGGTTTTAATTTTTTTCTCCTGTCAGACTTTGCCAAAAACAGGAGGCAGTGAAAACATGAGGCTGCAAGATCTTACTGTTGCATTTGCATTTGTACACCAAGACTGGAAATCCCCCTGCACCTGATGTTCTCTGCAAGACATTTGCACCATCCGTCCCACGCAAGGCTCTGAGTAAAATGAGAGCG